ACACACACACACACACCTTCACACACACAGGCACGCACACTGAAGCTTGAATGCATGCAGGTGTGTTATACACACAAGCTCGCATAAACACTAAACACTTCATTTACCACCAACAGCTCAATCTTATCTCTCTATGCTTTGACAGACTCAGCCGTGGTGTGATTTGACAGGACGGAGATGGGGGGGTTGCTTACCTAATGAAGAAGGAGGCTGCTGCAGATGAGGAGGGTGAGGGGGAGGCAGCGGTAACGTAGACAGGCGCGGGGAGTCCCGGTTGGCTGGAGCTCCCCAGTCGGCAGGGCGTCAGGGTGCTGCTGCTACTGCTGCTACTGCTGCTGCTGCTGGTGGTGGTGGTCATGGTGGTGACTGGGGCCTCTGACGCTGTGACAACCATGACTGGATCCCCCGTCAAACCAGCGGCCTGTTGACACACAGATACAGAGATAAGACCACGGCCAACACTTACAGATTTTGTCACTCCTGCCCACCTTCCTTCCACCCCATTTACTTTCCCTCAGCCACAGATGGACGGGCAGCTGCTGCGGCCAGCTCCTGTTAGCGGGAGTCAGCAGTATCCACAGCAGAGAGCTCCCCACAGAACAGCGAGGACCGCCGCACCATTCATTGATTCTGGCAACACTCTCCGGCTTGATCTGGTTATGGCCTACTGTAATTAAGTGATAACCCACATTTAATTAGTAATTAAATAAGCAGCGTTTTTTATTTCACTCTGCTCCCCATTATACATATACCTCCATGACTAATTTGGCAGTTTACTCAACAGGAATGAGGGGCATGTCATCTCGCATGTCAAGTCGAAACTATCTACTTGCAGTTTTCAAAAGGGAGAAACAATCAACAATCAACGTGAGAGGTGTTTATATGATAGTTTCCATGTTTATTAGGTATCGGAGTTGTGGTTGCAGGGGCACACCCTGCTCTGGAAGCTTGGTAATTGAAGAGGAGTAAAATAAGGTGAGATGCTTCACTCCAGCCCCAGGGCTTTGGTAAGTGATGCCAAAGCTACACTGGGTATATCACCTATATTACGTATTTTTTACATATGTGCTGCAGCAGGTCATTAACAGCTAAATCAGTTTCATCATTGAAGAGAGACTTAAGCTAGAGAAAGACAAAAAAGTATTAACCAGATTTCTAAAGGCTTTAAAAGCAGTTTAACATTTGAATATAGAAGAAAAAACTAGATAAATAAGATAATTTGCTCTTTGCATCTACTGCATCAAATAAGAAGTGGCATTATGTGTTCTATGATATCTGATAGTTGATAACAGTTGCACTAAAAACAGCATTTTAGCACCTTAATCTCCATCCCTGCAAACACACCTGAAAACACATATCACATGACCATTCACACACACTGGTGTAAACAGGAACAGATTGTCGACTCTGCAGCTGGTTGCTTAGTTACAGAAAATACTACCAACGAGAAACAATGATGAAAACCAAAATGATGGATTCCTTTTCTTGAAAGGACGATAAGGTGGAACTGTTGCTGACAGTAATTGTTTAGAAAGGTTTGCCTTCACCGCTGGAATCGAGTCATGCCCAGTCAGGAGGTGAATGTGGGTGAGTGCATCATTGTGTACAAATGTCTCCATCTTTGCCTGCTCATGCTACAACGCAGCCCAGGAGTTTTCAATGCTTTTCAGTTTAAGGGGCACGAATTTTTAGAGTAGTGTGGATCCCAGGCGTAAACGTAGCATTAAACTAAAACCTTGTAGTGAGGATGTAGTCTAAGTTAAGTATCGGTATGGAGCCGTCTTAATGCAGAGCAACAGATATATAGTCCAGACAAAAATAGAGGCCATTCATACACTAACCCCTCCGGCCTCTGTTTCTGTTTGCTGGACAAAGGAGCATCTCAGCTCAGCCTGAGCACTGGAGCCAGCTCTGGGTTACTGATTGCTCACGGTCCAGCACAAGGAGCACACAGAGCTGATTACATGAGCCACAAGCAAACTCTGAGACTACACTTCAGTTTGAGTCGCCACACTGACAAAAGGTTAATCCCCAGCGGAGCCGCTAGTTTATCCTGCAGGATGGGGATCAATAGCAGCTGACAGGAAGGAGTGCTCTGGGTTTTCAGCATCAGAAATTAAATAAATTAAAAACATTTACAACACTTGTACTTTAGCATTGTGCAATCAGCAACAACCTTGAATTGAGTACACACACGCCATTCCCGCCTTAGTGCCATTTCACTATTGTGTGTATTATAAATGCCGCTTAGGCCGTCTGCATATTTGCCACCTGGGTGTTTGTCCCAGATTCATGTTTGGCAACTAAAATAACATCCTTTACAATCTTTTTTATAAAGTGTGCGGCCTTCCACTATCTGCCATTTGTCAGCACAGGCCGACAGCTGTGCTATTTATATGCCAAGCCTGACATGTGAACGCTATACATCAGGATGTGAGGACATACTTACATTCTGACATTCACATGAGAGGCTTGGCTATTGCTCTGCAATGTTAGCTTTACATGCACTACAATGTGTTGCTATATTAAAGCTTGGGTGCTTTTCATGCATCTTTTCCCAGAAAAGCTTCGCTGAACATTTGTCAAGAAGAGGACCTGCAGAGCGAGCGCATGTCATGAATTCCCATTTCTTCCCTCTGAGCTTGTTATCTGAGTTAAAATCGACATTCTTGCTTCGGAGCTCTGGTTTTTTGGCTCTCTTGAGATTTCATCATGGAGGCTAAGTCAGATGTTAAGCTGCCGTGTGTGAAGTTATGACTTGAGAGGAACACCATGGAAAAAAGTGGGCTGAAATGAGCCAAGTACAGATCCTCATGCAGCCGCCGGAGCAGAAAGCCTCACGCCATGCGGGTGCAAGTGCCAGGTTAGGAACTTGACGCATACCAGGAAAGTAGACCCATTAGACTCTGGCATGAAAGAGCGCAGCGCTTGACAAGTAGCCGAACAGGAAGTTGACATGTATAGCTCATCAAATCTGTCACTGATCAGGCGGGTGTAGTGTCGCTTTTTAAATCAAGTGGCAGCTGATTTTCAGGAACATAGAGGGACAGCTGGTCACAGGTGGGGCTGCGCTGTGGCCTCAGAATCAAACACACATACTGGCAAGCACACGCACACTCTTGAGCCCATAACAGCGCCTATCAAAGCGTATTCCCTTCGGTATTGAGACAGGGGACTTAAGCCCCTCGGCCAAGCTGCTCTCTGCAGCCTTGGACCCTAATTCTGGCTGAAAGTACGATCTATCCCCCAGTCAGGTAATTAGGCACTGTCAGTGGAGCCATGTGTGCTCGGCCGTTTACACTGAGAGTCGGTAATGAGCTGGCCTTCCATCCTTTAACCCCCAGCCCTCCCTGATCCCTTTGCCACTGTAAAGAAAAGGCAGAGAAACGAGTGGGGGGAGAGATGTGGAGGTAATAGAAAGAGTGTGTAAGAGAGTGGAAAGAGAGAAAAGAGATTGAAGGTAGTCTGAGGTGAAGAGAACAGACCGGCATCCTATCAGTGGACCACCACCCCCCGCCCCTTAACACCACCAGGACTCCCCGGTGACCTCTGACCCCAGCGGTCAGCAGACGATTACTGCAGAGGAGAAATAGGCCCTGTGTTAATCTGCCTGTCAGGCTTGGCTGGCCTCTATACCAAACAGAAACCAGTGATGGACTGCTAACAGTACTGGAGTCCTACCAGGAGAGAAAACTGAAAATACGCCTTTGTGTTCATCGCTCTTGACAGAAAACGTCCATTGTCCTTAAGCACATATCCAGACATAGCTTTTCTAATTGATTCCGTTTGGAAGGAGGGAGTGTTGTCGATCTCTTTCCTTTCCTGCAACGTTCTCTTGTCACTTTCAGTGGCACGTCGCCGTGCACGCCCAGCTGCACCAGAGTAGCAGCAGCCAAGATCATCTGCTGGGCTTCACATTAATAGCAAAGGAGCAGACCATGGCAGCCCACAGCTAACATGCCAACGGAAACCCTCATAGGTTAAGAGTACTTGGTCTTTGTAGACACAAGTCATTGTGGATTTCATGGAGCAAAGAGAGAATCGCAAATTTGGGTCAATCAGTTGCTTGCTTTGAGCATTTTACTGCTTCTAATGTGTTTTTCTCATAGTCTGTATATAAAGGTGGATGAAATGGCTGCTCCCCAAAAGTGAAGCCAAAGCATCTCAATCGCCACCTGCTGGCTGGCTGCAGTACGCGTCATAAACCCAGCCTCTGTGTTAAGTTTGGTTTCAATCACTAATTCGGTGTTATAAAATCCATTGACAGCGGAGACTGACTCACAATTGGTCAAACACATTTATCGATGGTACAGTGCTATCTCAGCTCCATCCCCCAATCGCTACTGTGCAGACTCTGCCAGTGTTCGTATCCGAGATACTTTTATTTCTGGGCAGTGGGAGGAAGTGGAAACGTGTCGTTGATCTTTATATATAGTCTATGGTTTTCCTGGATACATTTTATTTTTATTGAAAGGTTCTTTTTCAAAAGGACAATAACACCAGGAATAAAAGAATTGTAAATGTTTGTCAAAGCTGAGGTTTTGCATCAGGTTCTCGAGGTGCAACCAACTTTCTCAAAGAGGTGCAGAATTCAAGGCAGCAGCATGAAACAGTGTCAGCCAGTTTACAAAGAGGGAGTCAGTTTCAATTCCAGTGACCACAAACATCATTCCAGATGTTAACCAGAGCCTTTTCCCAAATGGAAGATTCAAGGTGCCCTATAATGGGCTGTATGTGGGAGTGCCCCAGGCTGCTTTTTATTCTGCACACACGAAGTCCAAAGCGTCTTTGTCTGAACAACACTGCATGCTCTCCCTACAAAGAAACCAAGAGGGAATCATGAATTAAAACGAGTGCCTTTCGGCTCAGTGTTAACTCCCAATCCTCACGGGCTGCTGTGGGTTTTTGTCATTCTGAAAGATCTGGCTTTAATGAAAGAAACAAGCTTGAGAAAATAAAACCCTTTTCTGCTGAATGTGTAATTTTGTGTCCTGAAGGGACATCTCTCACAGCCTGAGGAGGGCCCGAGCCTCAGCTATGTGGCATTGAGCAACTCATCGCAGCTCCAAGGGCCACTAATTGCCTTTAGACACGTGGATAGAGAACACGAGTCAGCCGCTCCCTTCTGTGCCAGGCTGTTTGATTTGCCCTAGATTGCGTACATGCAGTTAAAAGCTTTTGATGGCCTCACATAAACCATCTCTACAGGCAACTGTTGACATTAAAGGGAGGAGTGAAAATCTGTCTTCAATTTCCAAGCAGAAAGGAAGGACTAGCACTGCCAAGACCCATAAGAGACTGTGGTTATCAACACAGCTAGAAGTGAAGTGGCTGAATTTACAACTTATGAATCTGATGGGAAATATGAAAGTGCAGGGGTTGGATTACGTTAGCACATAGGTGTTTGCCTGGTGTACTCTGTCACAGGTTTGTCAGGTCTTAATCCAGAAGAGAAACATCAGTATGTCAGGAGCAATGTGAGAAATCATAGTCAACACTTTTCATGTTCAACTTACATTACGACAAAACCTGCAAACATGTGCAACTAAACTGTTAAAAGTCACAAAGAAGGTACAGCAAGGCTAATAATTAGCTCCCATGACACTGAGGGCAAAACCCAGGACCTTTGAAACTCTCTAGACATCAAACAGACTAATGCTTATCCAACATGAGAGAAGAGTTATTGTGGCGCTGTGGGGTGGTCATTTGAAATGCCCTTGAGGAGGAGGTCAGCAGATTAGTGTTGCAATGACCTCTGACCCCAAATCACTCAGGCTCCTTGACTACTGAGGAATGAGAGGTCAGCACTCCTGCAGAGCTCTGACTCGCAGATTCTCTGCAGGGCGCCATCGTCTCTGAAGGTCTGAAATGTAACAAATGTATTGACAAGACTTGACCTGACAAGCACTGCAGCATTGTGTGCAGAAAAAAAGGTGTTGTGCCATTATTTCAACTTAATTAATGTCAACTCAGGTTAAAAGGAAGTCAAGTAGCCAGGGTTTACATTACTGCATATTCTTTACAATGAAGTGAAGTGAAGCTCAGTCTACTGTAGAATACCTTCCAATTGCTTCCAAAGGTATGTAATAAAAACAAGAAAACTAAAGTTGTACCAGTTTAGGCTGAGGGAGGAAGTTGTTGACCCTGGAGATGCTCCACATGCCCTCGAGGTACTGCTGAGCCTGGATGGTGACAGAGTTCAGGGATCCGGTGATCTGCCCTCCTGCCACCGTCACCTGGACGCTGGGCCCTGAAGAAACCGAGGGGCTTTGAGACCAGCCCGGCACCCTGCGCCTCTCCCCCAGGGGCAGGACACTGTGTGTGATGGTTTGGCCTTTGGACAGCTGTTTTGCACGGACACTTGAGGACGACATGGTGAATCTGGAAGGCTGCGGTAAAAACGATGTGGTGGGCAGGGCTGCCATGTCTGGGCTTAAGGTGAGGACGGGAGCATTCAGCGTCTGCAAGGCCTCCTGCCTCAGTTGGTGCAGAGGCGTGGAGCACACCTGGCAGCAGCTGACACCAGCGTCATGGCTCCCAGGTGTTTGAAGCTGCTCCAACAGAAATGTTGCATATCCAGGGTCCTGCAGACAAAACGAACACAAAAGAGAGGCTGTAACTCCACACACGATATGCCCACACACACACTTAACGCATGAAACACATTGATTTCAAGCAAATTGCTCGTTTGCTCTTTTGAAAGGATTTCCTGTGTGTTGTTCACATTTTCCATGTGCGTCAGTGATCTGCTACCAGTGTGGTCTCTGGCTGCCCTCTGGGACCCTCACTCCCTGCCTTAACCACTTCCTTTTTTCAGGATGGCTGTTTGTTTAGACTCAAAGGCTTCGCCTGCATGCAACTTTAGACTGTTGATCAGGTTAATCAGGCATATGCTCATTTCATAGAGTCTGCTGGGACCAAAACAAGACGAATGTGAGGAGAAATCTTAGCTCGGAGGGATTAGCCAGAGACCCCACAGAGGCATTCTTCTCTAAAATAAACAAAATGTGTATTTTATTTATTTAGTGAAGCTTTACAAACAAAAAAAAGACCATGAAAATTCCAGCTAGTTACTGCTTTTCAAGACGGTGTCCAGTAGAGTTTTGTCCTTTTGATTTGTCTCTAAGAACGCCCCCCTAGGGTGTCCATCTCTGCTTGGGAGGAATGACAATAGACAACAACAGCTGAGCGGACTCTAGTGCCCACAGCTATACAATTTACATATGATAAGTGTCCCAGCATGAAAACATATGATGAGCCACCAAATGTGAAAATAACTACCTCCTCCAGGAAGCAGCGGGGACACACACAGCTATCAGAAGTTTGCCAAATCAAATCTAAGTAACTTTCTGATTTTAGTGACACAAACAAACACACACACACAAACACACACACCAACAAGGCAGTCTCTTAAGAGGCATTAAGGGGCACTAGGCCTCTGCCCAGTGGAGTCATGGCCTGAGACGGGAGCCCACAGCCGATACATAAATGTTTATGAGGCCTTTGCTCTGTGGAACCTCCGAGGTGATCAGGAGGAGTGAAGCGGCGGGGAAACAACAATCCACTGCACTAATGCAGCGCCACTTAATACAGCTACAACCCAGAGACCATAGAGACGCAGGTCGAGGGACTCTAAATCTCCTCCGTATGAGAGCAGCTCAATACTCAGACTTCTGTGCGTACACACACAGAGAGTATGAATAATATGATCGCATAACCTTACTGCAACCTCGCTGGGAAATAATGCACAGTTGCTGTCTGTCCATTTTCCTGTATTCTCAGAAATGGACAGAAAGTAATGTTCGCTGGATTGCACTGAATGTACCCATAATCTCCATATCATCACCTTACTTAAAGGAGGATGCGTTGGACTGTGATTGAACTGGCCTGATGTTAACTGAGTGGTTGTGGTAAATAATTTACTATATCGGCTACTTACTTTACACATGGTCAGGCACGGAAAGGATGCAGGCACAACTAAGGAAAACACTTAGGATGCAGAAATTCTCATAAATCTGACTGGGAATGAGGATGCTGATGTGTGGATGACTGGCTGATGGGAGATCAAGAGCAGCAAAGAGAATGTTCATATATATAAATGAGGGATGGATTTAAATGTAAGAAGCTTAAAATAGACATATGATTGAGCTTTTAGGAATGATATCTAATGCTGCTTGATCCTGACCATGTGAACGGATGCCATAGTTGCGCTCAGGCAGCATATTTATGCACATGACAGGAGAGTTCCGCTGAAATAACATGAAACAGCCTATGACAAATTGGTGTGAAATGGGAAACAGAGCTACTGAAAAGAAGAAAACACAGCAGCCTGATATGGTCTGTGCACTGGTCTAGTTTGGTTTCATGTGCGTGCTTCCCAGACAGGAAATTAAAGCGACGTCACAACCAGTCAACTCCGCCCTTCCATCACCCCGACACCCTTTACCCTCTCAGACCAGCTCTCACCCACCTCGGGGCACCGGTAGATGGAAGAAATCAATCCCCCCCCTCCTCTCTGTGCATTGTTAGGTGTTGATTTAGGGGAGCTAATAAAAAGACACACAAAGCTGAGACCATCTGCTATTCAGTTAGCATTCTGGAGGTTAGAGAGCGGACTGCTCCTGTAAAGCTGTCGGTGAGCTTTATGCCCGGTGGAGTGAATAAAGGGTCACGGCCACAAGGCTTATGGAGATGATGGGGGACGATGATGACGATGTTAGGCATGTGGATGTGGTGAAATTGAAGGCCACAGGGTCCATCTATAGGGTCGGAGAAGGGATAAATATAGTATGTAATTCACATATCGCTCAGGGAAAGCAGGTGAAAAGTGGTTAGTTGCTTTCACAGTTTACTCTCGTGTTCGTGCTCCTGCGTTCAATCTAACAGCTTGAGAGCTTGTGCATGAGCATTAAAGTTGAAAACATGAAACATATGACGCATGAGTGCAGCCAGCCTGGAAGCCATATTGTTTCTTTTATTATCCATATGATCTATTACTGACAGGTGCAAGTGGGTGTGAAGAGTAGTGCTGCTGCAAAGAGAAGTGTGTGATGCGCTGTATCGACACAATTTAAATGTTCAAAACATTTCCGGCAGCGGCGAAGAGTGGGGCTACTTCAGGGCTCGGACTCCTCGGCCATTGTTCCTGCACAAGTGCGAGATGGTTTTGGTTTTGAATCCGAAGTCTATATCCGCGCGGAGTGAGAGAGACTCAAAGTGCACAAGTGAGGATGAGAGGACAGCAAGAAGGAGAGAGAGAGAGAGGGGTGGGAGGAGGTGTAGGCCGAGGTTGTGGCCCTTGCCTGGAGGGTTGTGGGTGGTTGTGTTGGTTTACTGCCTGTCAGCAGTGATCTTTATTAAACTCTGGGGACAAATGCAGTCAGATGCTGTGCCCTTATTATGGAAAGGAGGTGTGCACTGCGAGCACACTGAGGAGAGCGAGCCCTGCATGTGCCTGTGGAATGAGCCCTTCGCAGCCCTTAGAGACCCAAGTTTGTCTGTGTCCCTCACACTAACTGTGATGAAAACCAGGGCAGCCGCGGCAGGAGAGAGAGCCACCCAGCTAACTGACTGTCTCTTTGGCTTGATGGAGAGTGTCATCGCAGACAGGCCGTGCCCAGAGGCTGATGGAAACAAGCTCAGCCGTAACCACTTATGGATGTGGGGACAGGGAGGAGGGTGCGCATGATTTCTCTCCCGATGAAAACACAACCAGGCAAACTCAAACATTCGAATTTTCCCAAAAAATCACACCTCATTTGCCTCATCTCGTCCGCTACCTTCTCTCTACCCAGACAAAGTGAAGCTGCCAAATCCGACTATTTCCGTGTTCGGCTTCTGATGCACCTCAGTAGTGGAGCACTGGCCTAGATATAAATCAGGCTGAGGTCACAGTGATTTGAAATGCATGAGGCCCCTCGCTATAGCCGAGAGACTTTTAGGCACGCTCCATTGAAAGTAAAATACTCTGGGAAACCATATTTTCTATTCCAGTTGAGCCCAACAGATATTTCCCAGACATAAAAGCTCCACTGCAGCGGTGTCAGAAAGAGAAATGAAGCAACAGCGTATCAATGTGCATTGGTGATGAAAAAGAAAAAAAGAAAATCAAGTGAAAAGTTGTAGCCTGCAGCTCCTCAGCTCCTCAGCTCCTCAGCTCAGATGTGAACTGTTTTACAGCTGCCAGCACTGTGGCATTCTGCTGGATATGATTACCATCTTATTTCTAACATCTGTCATTGTGCAATTTGCCCAGAACCAGTCCAGAACTGACACCGCAGCAATAAGACGCAGACGATTCCTCGATCCTCTGTGTTCAATCTGACTGTTCATTAAACGGGAACACAAGCCAGTGGAACTCGTGAAAGTTGACTTTACGATTAAACAGCTCAGTCGGTTTTCCTTTCCTTCCTTCCCCTTTCACGTTTCTCCTTCATTATTCTATCAGCACGGAAACATTCCTCAAAATGAGTCAGTGCAAACCATGCTCATTTATATCTGTCCGCACTAAACTTTATTCACACCAGCACCAGTCCTGTTTACACGTCACCATTCTTGAGTACTTCCTATGACTGCATTTCTTGTAAAATCGAGACCACACAGCAGCTGCCAAATCCGATGCCCTTTCAACTCCTATTAACCAGCTTTCCCTTCCTCTGCTTCCCTGTAAGGAGCCATCTCTGTTTACTTGGCCTGAGACAGTGTTGACCCTAACCACACACCGTCTACGTAGGTCTCAAAGGGATTGCCCCCCCCCCTCCAATAAACCGCAGGAGCACAGTTCCAGATCCCAGGGAGAGGACGAGAGCTTCCAGCAGGCCTGCTTTCCCACAGGTAGCCCCTGCTCACTCTGACAGCCAAGCCGGAGAAAAACGAGCACAGCTGCTGGCCTTTCCCCGGGTGAGCGAAGGGCATTAAGACCCATTACATTCCCAGGATAAAAAGCAACACATCCAGTAGTGTAATCGCCTTCTGCCCCCAACTACTCCCACCACCTCTTGAACTTGCCCTGCACACCCGCCACGTGGACTCAGATCCCCTGAAGCAGCGGAGAGCTGGAGGGTCTGTGACTCTGATTAGATATCAGGTATGTGCTTTTAGTGCCGCAGCAGATCTCGGATACAGACCATTAAATTTAACCACTGCCTGCTCGGAGGCAGAGAAGACAATGACTCAGGATGTCACACTAGCATGCTACTTAACTCTGTGGGAACAAAATCTGGTTGAACACGAAACGGGACGGCTCACCAAATCACATCAAACAGATGTCTGCCCTCGTCAGTCTGCTGACTTGACAAGATTAAACAAACCCGCAATAAGACGTTCAGCAAACAAAGCAACAGTATCTGCAGGAACACAAGTACACTGTCATTACCTGGCTGGTAATACTTCCTGAGACAAAAAGCACACAGCACTACAGTAATGAATTCACTCCTCCTGCAACGCTGTGTGAAAAACTATGGCTGCTTCATTTTCTAATTTCAAACTTTTCTTAATTAGAGTCCATCAAATAATAATGAAACATTTCTGCAGCTTCTCGAGTATAATGTGACATTTGCATTTTGTCTACGTGCGGCTACATTTA